ATTGGTTATGAATGAAGGAGAACTGAATGAATGCAACATCAAAAAGAAGAAAGCCAAACACATTTAAAGCGACGCATTTTGCGCGTCGCAAGCATCGTCATCATCATCATTCGCTGCCAGACTGTTGAGCAGTTCAGTCGATTTGAATTCTCTCTAGTTTCGTTCGTTCGTTCGCAAGTCGAATTAGCTCCGCGTTGTATAGTGACGCTCTCGCTGACCCAGCCATGGGTAAGAAATCGCGCGGTAACGCGAATGCCGGCTTACCGGGAAAACAGACTCTCCCAGGAGACGGCGCGACCACCGAGCCAGCTCAGAAGAAGCAGAAGAAAACCCCATTGCCCGTCCCGACAGGCGTTGCGGACCCGCAGCCGGGGCCTCCCGGAACTAAACGACCCAGACCTGAAGACATCAGCGCCACCGCATCGGCAGCAAAAAAGCTGCTGAGCAACAATCCGTTCTCCGCCCTGCAGAACGGAGCCCAGCCGCAGTCGGACCCTGAGACGGTGCCTAAAAAAGTTAAGTTGCCACCCTTCTATGTGAAGGGCTTCCCTCCCGGGCTATGGGAGCAGCTGGATTTCTACATTAAGCAGGGCCTTCGCTGCACCATTCAACGGTGCACGGAAGGCTACAAACTGATGGTCTCGGCCGAAAATCACTACAACGCAGTCCAGGCCCTCTTGGACAGGATGAAGCTGGAGTACTTCTCCCACGACGTCGAGGCCACCAAGCCGCTGAAAGTGGTGCTGCGCGGGCTCCACGACATGGACACCACCACCTTAATGGACGAGATTAAGGCGAACGGCCTCAAGCCGGTCGAAGTCCACAAGATGACCCGCAGCAAGGCCATCAAGTATCGTGACCAGCTCTACTTGGTCCATCTGCAGAAGAACTCCACAACCGTGAAGGATCTCCATACGACACGCACACTGTTCCACATCGTAGTGAAGTGGGAGCGGTATAAGCCAACCCACCGTGGCGTCACTCAGTGCTCGAACTGCCTATTGTTCGGGCACGGCACCAGGAACTGCCGCATGGCCAGCCGCTGCATCAAATGCGGCAAAAACCACAAGATCGACGACTGCGACAGCATCGAGGAAGCCGCTCCCACATGCGCCAACTGCGGTGCTGCCCACAAGGCCACGAGTAAGGCCTGTCCGAAGCGGGCCGAATACGCCGAGATCCGGAAGAAGGCCTCGTCCAACAACCAGCCCGGTCGCAAGAAGGTCCCGGAAAACAACGCGCAGAACTTTCCTCCGTTATCACCGGTCCAACCACGGCCAATTCCAGTGTTGGCGCCGCTCCCGCTCAACCAACAGTTGGCTGCTGCCCAGTCGGCTGCCGCTGCAGTACCTAGTCAAGCCTCCGGCCCATCGACGGATCCCCCTGCTCCGGGATTGGCCGGTACAACCGGTGAAGCTACAGACGATTCTCCGCTGTCAACGGATGAGATCGTCACACTGTTGGCCCAGGCCATCATCATCAAGCGCACCTGCGCAACAAGAACACAACAGCTCCAAGCTATCATCTCCTTCGTCGCTAATTATGGACCGTGAACCCATAAAGATCGCCAACTGGAACGCTCGCTCCGTAGGGGCGAAAAACATTGAGCTTGCAGACTTCCTCCGCAAGCACGACATCGACGTGGGCCTCCTCACCGAGACCCACCTCAAGACCGGTGACAGCTTCTGGCTGCCCGACCACAGCATTGTCCGGCTTGATCGCACCAGCTCCAGGGGGGGCGGTGTCGCGGTCATCATCAAGAAAGGCATCAAGTACTGCACCCTACCCCACTACCGCACTTCCATCATCGAGGCCGTCGGCGTAGAGGTGGAAACATCGACCGGAAACATCCGGTTCATCGCCGCCTACTGTCCCCGGCAATGTACCGTTAGCAATGGTACAGCACAGCAGTTCAAGAACGACCTTGCCATCATAACCCGCACCAATGCCCGCTTCGTAATCGGAGGGGACCTGAACGCCCGGCACGAGGCCTGGCGGAACTACCAGCAGAACCAGAACGGCCGCCTGCTATTCGACCATTCCCAGCATGGTCTCTATTCCGTCTGGTTTCCGGACGAACCAACCTTCACATCACCGACGGGCAACCCATCGACGCTGGACCTGTTCTTGGCAAACACCAGATTAGCCAAGCCGGTTGCCGTCAACGACCTGAGTTCGGACCACCAACCGGTGCTGACCGAGCTGGGCTACAACGTGGCCCCTGCACCGTGCCAGCGGAAGGACTACCATCGAGTCAACTGGGTCCAGTTTCGACGCGTGGTCGACCGCCACATCGACGACAACCCACCGCTCGACACAGTGGAGGACATCGACCGGGCCCTGGAGGGTCTCCATCAAGCCATATCCGTGGCTGACGAAGAGTGCGTTCGACGAGTTCCTGTGAGGGGTAAGTTTCAAGCAATTGATTCCCACACCAAACTCTTGATTCGGCTCAGAAATGTTCGTAGACGCCAGTTTCAGCGGACTGGGGATCTGCAGCGTAAATACGAAATGGTCGATCTGAATCGGCAGATCGCTTCCAGAATGGTCTCAATCCGGAACGAGAGTTTCGGGCGGCTCGTTCAGAACCTGGACGACCGTTCCAGACCATTCTGGAAGGTTGCCAAGGTGCTGAAGTCTCACCCCAAGCCCATTCCACCACTTAGAGTCAATGACGAACGGCTTATCACCAACGAAGAGAAGGCCAATGCAATTGGGGAGCACATTGCCCAGTCGCATTTGCTTGGCTCTAAAATCCCAAGTCCACTCGAGAACCAGGTTGCGCAGTGCGTCCTGACGTTAGATGCCTCCCCTTGTGCCGTCCCTCCAGAAGAACGGATTACAGAGGAACAAATTTGCTCAGCGCTGAAATACAGTAAGAACATGAAGGCTCCCGGGTTTGACGGAATATTCAACCTAGCGTTGAAAAATCTCAGCCCGAGGGTGCACTCGCTGCTAGCTGCCACCTTCAACAGATGCTTGGAGCTGCACTACTTTCCAAGCATCTGGAAGGTGGCAAAAATCATCCCGATCCGCAAACCTGGGAAAGACCCTTCACTACCGTCAAGCTACAGACCGATTAGCCTGCTCTCAGCGCTGAGCAAGCTGTTCGAAAAATTGATCCTCAGCCGACTAAACAAGTTTGTGGAGGAACATGACATTCTTCTTCCGGAACAGTTCGGGTTCCGTAAGGGGCATTCCACCAATCATCAGCTAGTGCGGGTGATGAATAACATCCGGAGTAACAAAGCTGTATCCAAGTCCACAGCCATGGCCTTGTTAGACGTCGAAAAGGCGTTTGACAATGTCTGGCACGACGGACTTATATACAAGCTTTGTAACTCCAACTTACCACCATACCTTGTGAAAATCACCCGTAACTATCTCCAGCAAAGGTCGTTCAGGGTGTCGTTGAATAGTTCCCTTTCGGGACAATTTCCGATCCCAGCAGGTGTTCCGCAAGGGAGTCTGCTGGGACCACTGCTTTACAGCATCTACACGTCGGACATCCCTCCTCTAGGAGACGGTTGCGTGTTCTTTCTGTTTGCAGATGACACCGCGATAGCCGTCAAGGGTAGGATGCCTCGTGAAATTACGAACAAGCTCCAACGATGCCTTGACACCTTTACTGATTTTGCCACCACGTGGAAAATCAAAATCAACGCCTCGAAAACCCAAGCGATCATGTTCCTTAACAGACAATCGCCAAAACTTAAACCGTCTCCCTCCTGTACCGTAATAATGGATGGTACAAGGGTCGAGTGGTCCACTGATGTTACTTATCTCGGGATGTTGTTCGATGAGAAGCTCCTGTTCCGCTCGCACATAGAGAAAACCCTAGTTAAGTGCTCCGCCTTGGTTAGGTGTTTGTATCCGCTCATTTGCCGCAGATCCCGCCTCTCAAGGCAAAACAAACTGGCTGTCTACAAACAGATCATAGCCCCCGCGATCTTCTATGCCGCCCCGGTGTGGGAATCGTGCGCTCAGACCCACAGGAACAAAATCCAGGTTGCACAGAATAGAGTGTTGAGGATGATCCTAGATCGTCCATTCGACACAAGAATAGCAGACCTCCATCAAGAGGCAGAAATTCCCAAAGTAGATTCCAAAATTGATGATATGACAACTAAATTTATTCAAAAATGCAATCTTTCTGAACATGCTTTAATAAGCAATTTGTACATAGTAGGTTAAGTGTATATAGTAGAGTAGGTTAATTTTTAAGCTGTAAATAGTAGTATTAAGTAGTTTCTCTTCAAATTCTAAAAACAAAACAAACCAATCCCACCAAGGTGGTCGACCGTGTACTAAGTCTAGGACTAATCCTGTAAAACAAATTTTAAATTTTGCCTATACCTAAAGATGAAGAAAGCAATTAAATCACTTAGTAAAAATTTATATGGTAATCGTCCAAGTTAAACTAAAATAAAGATCATTTAAACTAAACGCGTCGCAAGCATACAGTCCACAAGCTTTGTAAAGCAAACACCGAAATATAGCGCCGTTGAAAGTTTTAATTCATTCTCGTTTTTCCTCTTTGGACAAGCCGAAGCCAAAACAGTCCTTTTCAGGGCTATGAGTTGAGTTGGATTTCAGTCGAGCTTTTCGTTGTGTTCCTGTTGGCATTCCCACAGGGGGAATTTGCCAAATCAGCTGGAATCCTCCGAGCCGAGGATTGCCACACCATCTCCAGTGTCCGTGATCGGACAACAACTTTTGTGAAGACACTAACTCATTTTATTAATATTAAAATAAGAGTAAATTTTGTATCACCCTAACACGTGGATACATCATCAACCTAATGGAACGAAAATATAAACTATTTTAGTCAAATAAACTTCTTCGAAGACATTGCACAAATTTAAACGTAATTAAAAAAAAAATGCACGTTTTCAATAGGTTCGTTCCACTGTGCGTTGGTTATTAATAATAAAATTAATCACGAATAATGATACTGGTTTTTATCACGAGTATTCACTGACCATATCATATCTTTGCAGCTTGAACATGAAACTACACGCGTTTGGCTAGTCTTATACGACATGTATCTGCGAAAGTTCACGAAACGGGAGCCCGAATTGATCCCTCTGAAAGATATGCTTTTCACAGGGGCTCACTTACTTGGTAGGCTTAATAAAAATAATACAATGTTTTTCAATCTATCTTACTAACACTTGCCTTGCAGATATTGAACACTGCTTGGAGAGCAACAGCGTCAAGATTGCTGCGGCCCTAACCCGCATTCGCATTCAGAACAGTGCCTACAGCTTGATTAGTCTACTGCCGCCGCATCTCCAGGACGACAAGGTCGCCGTCGTGGTCTCGAATCCGATCATAACCGGTTGGATCAATACCTTCCGAATTAAGACCAAGCGACAGGCCAACGAACGAATGAGGTCCCTCGGATTCGAAGTGATCGAAGAACCTCTAGTATCCCATGCAAGTATGCTAAATCTGTTCAACCCGAAGGAAAAGATCTACATACCACTTTCGGTTGGGAGGTACAAATGGGATAAACTATGTCCCCAGGTCATTGCTCTTTATCCGGAAAAGCGAACCGAATTCATACGATCGGAGGTCTTCGAACAGCATGAGATAGTGATACAGGATCGATCGTTCATGATTGGTCCGACGATATTCACGAATTTGTTGGAGTTTTACGAATTGTACGGAGATGTAGTTCAAACGCACATCTCCTCACCAAGATCGACAGCCTTTCTAGCGTCTTTGCTGGTCAATTGCAAGAGGTGCCGGAACTTCATCGCATTCGGGTGTGGCAACAAGCTAAACGACTATCGAAAGTACATGGCTGCACTGGGAGTTACCAACGTCAGGTTGTATGCGGAGAGTTTTGCAGACGTTCCACACGGAGCGAACATAATCGACAAGGTAGTTGGTATCTTCGCCAACCCACCGAGTTCGTACTCGGCCGTTAGTGATCCGATAGATTTGATCTGCAGCCGTGGAGGTGATCTCTCGATGCTGGAAGTACTTTCCGAATCGGAAATGACCGACAAAAGTAGACAGCGGGTGGCTAAACTGCTTGAAGAGCAACGGGAAAACTTGAAGCACGCCATGGCTAGACCACAGGTGCAGTTCATTCTCTACCAGACACATTCGATCGTGCCTACCGAGAATGAAGTCATGGTCGAGAAAGTTATCGAGTACATTAACCAAAGGGCATATGAGGTACATTTTCAAGCAGCCAAGGAGAGGGCGCAGGCTGCTCTTGCGGAAGCTGCTGGGAATCTGGTGGTGAACAGACTTATGATGGGTCGTCAAGATACTAGCAAAGCAGGAAAACAGGAAGAACCCGTCATTGAAAATGATTCCGAAACGGATGGAGATTCACAAAAACCCTCGGAAGAGGAGGTCGAGGTACCTTTGAGTGATCAGTTTGAAACGATTGAGGTGCCAGATTTTTGTCCGAACCGTGATAGTTGTTTGGATTTTGTGGAAGATGGCGTGTTCTTGTCATTGATCAAGCGGAAGGAAGTAACCCGTCTTGATTCTAAGTATTTGATCAAGATTGCTGAAGTTCGGGGGATATTCGGCGATACTAATGGTAACGAGGCAAGGACAAACGTCAAGGTCGTTAAGCGATCGGATAAGAAGTCCGAAGAACAGGAAGCAATTGAGATCGGGAATCGTAAGCGACGGCTCAAGCGCCGTGGTAGCAATATGGATTCACTGATCAGTCGATTGAATACTCCGACGCAAGCTTCGCTGAAGCGAGGCCACCACCACCGGATGTCCTCGGTGGAGCACAAGTTTATGTTCTTTGATCCGTACCAGGAGTGGTGTCCCAAGTACGCTGCCGTTCAAAGCGAATACAATCTTTCTGTACTCAGTGATGATAAGTTGTCACTGCATTCTGTTGATGAGACGCCACGTGCCCGCATTTGGTGGCGGGATACGATCCAGTACGTCCGAAATCAAATTCGGATGAAAAAGCAATGTGACGAAAAGAGTTTGCCAGTGCTGACTCTCAAAAGGCATTTTGGCCATTGCAGGTTGGGTGAGGTAGATTTCTCCAAGAGATTCCGAAGTAGCTACTGCAATAGAGTTCCATACCCATTACCCGTTCGGATCTTGGAGTTCAGGCAGTACAATTCGGAAAACAGGTAGGTGTTTAGCGAAATAATTTAAACTAAGCAGCAGTTTTAAGCGTTTAAATAATCCCTATTGCAGTCTGTTATATCGGTCCGATAAAGACTCCATCGCAGTGGCAAAGGCAGTCAGATTGAGTCGGCAGAATGCAATTTCCAGTGGATTTGGACGACGAGTGCGTGTGCGATCATCGCAGTCCTGTTGAAATCCACCGAGCTTATTCTTCGATTCAGATTTAATTGTAATGAACTAAAGGACAATCAGAGAAATTGGAAAGACCATTTACATCAAAGATTATAGTTTGTTTTAATCTGTAGAACGAAAAGAATACTATAGGATAAAGTGTGACACAATTAATAGTCTTTACAGCAGAATGGTCAGACCGGCTTGATAGGATGTGACTTATCTTGTGATAGTTTGTTAATCTGTCCAGTAGATGAGGTAGTTCGATTTGGTATTTTTGCCTTTGACGTTCCGTGAAATTGGTTGCTACACCAGTGTACTTTTTCATGAATGTTTACTAATCATTAGAGTACGTTCAATATTAAGAAGTACCATCGCAGACCATTACTACCCATTTTTGTAGATATGCTCATTATGTCCCATGAAGGTGCTCAACTCGCCCCGTGTCTCTTAAATATGCTACCGTTGTCAACCTACAGTATATCTCAAAATTGATCGTATACCCTAAAGGACATTTTTTTGAAACATGGTGAATAGGTATTTTTTTTTTAATCGTGGCTGGTGGTTGAACAAATGTTTATTTATTTATTGCTACAGTTTTCGTTTTTATTGGAAGAGTGCGTGAGATTTATTTTAGTAAAACTCTCGATTTTCAACTTTTTACCTAGTCCATTCCTAGTTGAACACTCAGTCGGTTAACAACGTCCCGGTCTCAGTCACGCGGCATCTAGTTTTTGTCGGAGTTTTTTCCGCCCGAGCGGTTTTTTCACCCCCCCATTGGGTGCCCCAAGTGACCAGTGTGCAACAGAGGAAGTGGAATTCCATGGGCCGAGCCCCTTGGAGTTGCCATCCAGCTTTAATCCACCCCGGTAATCCATCCGGTCGTCAAGCCATTTTTTCATCATCGTGCCGACCCACCAACACCAATCATCACCACCAGCAGCAGCAAACGGACCATCTAGCTGCAACGGCTGATAGGTTGTTTACAACCGGCATAAGTATTAGACAATACATTTTGCAAGTCCATTGCCTCCCTATTGTAGTTTAATTTTGCCTCGTGGCGCGTGACTCTGTCTCTCACCCCTGGTAGGGGAGTATGGGTCATAGTGAGACAACTTTTTGCAAGTAGATATAAGTTTTTTTGTTTTTTTTTTTTTTTTTTTCGATTTTTTTTTTTTTTTGATTTGTTCGTACGTCGGGCAAAAAATTTAATTACTAGTAATTAAAATTAATTAATTAGTGAAGGTTTTAATTTTTTTCCTTCTTAAGTGGTTGCGCACCGCTTTTGCGCAACACTTATGGCATCTTCCGATGCCTACGTTACGCGAACCAGATACTATGAACCGTCTTCGAAAGGACCATGGGTTGTCTTTTTTCGGCCCAAAAATAAACCTTTGAAAACTCTCGACATAACGAGAGATTTGCTGCGTAAGTATCCGGGAATCTTGGTACACAAAGAAAGATTCAACAAACTGCGTGTAGAAGCACCGACTTATGATGTGGCAAATAAAATTGCTGATCACGAGCTTTTTAGTGTTGAGTATAACATCTACATCCCTTCTCGAGATGTGGAGATAGAAGGCGTGGTCTCCGACGCGAGTCTGACTGTCGAGGACTTGAAACATGCCTCGGGAACTTTTAAAAACTCGACATTCGCTACCGCGCTAGTGAAGATACTGGATGTAAGGCAACTGCATTCAGCATCTTTGCTAGACGGTAAAAAAGTTTATAAACATTCAGACTCGTTCCGGGTGACTTTCGCAGGTTCAGTTCTCCCAAACTTTGTTAAAATTGATGGTGCTTTTTTTCCGGTGCGGTTGTTTGTACAGAGGGTATATAATTGTACCAACTGCAAAAGGCTGGGACACTCGGCCAGCCATTGCGGCAACAAAACTCGTTGTGGCAAATGTGGTGAAAACCACAAAGAGGATTCTTGCCACAAAGAATCAGTAAAATGCGCTTACTGTGGCGAGAATCCTCACCCCTTGCAGGAGTGCCCGATGTACAAACAGCACTCCGATAAAGTGCAGCGTTCAATCTCTGGACGCTCCAAGCAGACATACGCTCAAATGTTGAAGGCTGCATCAGCCGTCCAAGATGCAAACCAATTTTCGGTTTTGTCAGTTGAAGAATCGGACTCTGACTCATCCGATGAAGGTGATTCTACGGTGGTACACGCACCTTCAAAAATGGACGGTTCCTCAAAAAGAAAATGCCCCTCCCCGAAAGTGCGCCGTAAGAAAACTAAAGTCACCTCCAGACGATTGCCAAATTCCCAGGGTAATGGGGATGAAAAAACAAAACCGAAGGCTCCTGTTGATCCAATCCCTGGATGCAGCAAGAATTTTCCGCCATTGCCCAACAAAGATAAAAAAAATAAAAAAGCTGCTCCTCAAACTTCTCAAAAGAAATCCAAGTCCGAACGAGGTTTGCTAGCTTTTTCGGACATTGTGGAATTCATATTAAACATGTTCAACATACAAGACCCTCTAAGAAGCTTAGTTTCTGCCTTGCTTCCAACATTAGAATCATATCTTAAGCAATTGACTGTTTCATGGCCCCTCCTTGCATCAATCATATCTTTCGATGGATAATTCGCCGAACGAGGTCGAAGATATGATCACTGTGCTACAGTGGAACTGCCGTAGTCTAGTGCCTAAACTAGACTCGTTCAAATTTTTACTTCACAATTCTGACTGTGATATATTTGCTATCTGTGAAACATGGCTTTCTCCCGATAAAGAACTCAACTTCCACGATTTTAACATTATACGCCTGGATAGAGACGATTCTTATGGAGGAGTACTTTTAGGGATCAAAAAGTGCTACCCTTTCTACAAAATCTCCCTTCCTGCTCTATCCGGCGTCGAAATCGTTGCTTGCCAAATAAATGTGAAGAACAAAGATCTTTGCATAGCTTCAGTATACGTTCCACCAAGAACCTCCATTAGCCGTAGTCAACTCTGGAATCTAGTTTCGATTCTTCCATCCCCAGTATTAATTCTGGGTGATATGAACTCCCATGGTACTGGGTGGGGCGATCTATATGACGACAATAGAACGGCTATTTTTTACGATTTATGTGACGATTTCAATTTGACTATTTTGAACACTGGTGAAGCGACACGTATAGCAAAACCTCCGGCTCGAGAAAGCCGACTCGACCTATCTTTGTGTTCAAGATCGCTATCATTGGACTGTCAGTGGAAGGTTATCAATGATCCCCATGGTAGCGATCATTTGCCAATCATCATTTCAATAAAGTGTGGCCCTCACTCTGCAGAACCATCTCGGGTTCCATTTGATCTTACAAGGAACATCGACTGGCAGAAATATGCAACGGCGGTGACAATCGGTGTCGAATCAATAGATGCGCTTCCACCATTGGAAGAATATCGATTCCTAGCCGATTTGATTTACAAAAGCTCACTGGAAGCACAAAAAAGAAAAGTTCCAAGTGCGCCCTTCAAAAGGAGACCAGCCACACCTGGTTGGGACGAAGAATGCACAAAATTGTATGTAGAAAAATCTGATGCTTTCAAAGCTTTTCGTAGACACAAAACCTCCACTTACTTCGAGGAATATTCAAAGCTTGAGACAAAGCTGAAACAATTAATCAAAGCAAAAAAACGCGGTTATTGGCGCAATTTCGTCGAGGGACTCTCACGAGAAACCTCAATGAACACCTTGTGGAGGGTGGCTCGCAACATGCGTAACCGCTCATCTTTCAATGAGAGTGAAGAATACTCCAACCGATGGATATTCGATTTCGCTAAAAAGGTCTGTCCGGACTCAGTTCCAGCACAAAATATTCTTCGAGAAGCGTCTCCTAGCGGCGGCTCTCTGGATAGACCATTCTCAATGCTGGATTTCTCTATGGCTCTTCTTTCATCGAACAACTCCTCACCGGGAAGCGATATGATTAAATTCAATCTTCTGAAAAATCTCCCAGATATCGCTAAAAGACGCTTGCTAGATTTATTCAATTCCTTGCTAGAAAACAACATTGTACCGCCTGAATGGAGACAGGTCAAAGTAATAGCCATTAAAAAACCTGGCAAACCAGCGTCTGACCATAACTCATACCGTCCGATTGCTATGCTTTCGTGCATTAGGAAATTGTTGGAGAAAATGATCCTTCGGAGACTCGATCACTGGGTCGAATCAAATAACTTGCTATCAAATACACAGTTTGGGTTCCGCAAGAGCAAAGGAACAAACGATTGTCTAGCGCTGCTTTCCACAGATCTTCAACTGGCCTTTGCACACAAGGAGCAATTGGCTTCAGTATTCTTGGACATTAAGGGGGCTTTTGATTCAGTTTCCATTGAAATTCTGTCAGACAATCTGCACAGATGTGGACTTTCTGGAATTTTAAATAATTTCTTGTACAATTTGTTTTCAGAAAAGCAAATGAACTTTTCCCTTGGACAACTGACAACTTCCAGAATTAGCTACATGGGCCTGCCCCAAGGCTCATGTCTCAGCCCTCTTCTTTATAACTTTTACGTCAAAGATATCGACAACTGTTTGGCAGAACAATGCACGCTAAGACAACTTGCAGATGACGGTGTGGTTTCCGTAAGGGGTCCACATGCCGTGGACTTGCAAGGACCATTGCAAAATTCCTTAGATAACTTGTCTTCTTGGGCTATGAATCTAGGGATCGAATTCTCGCCGCAGAAAACTGAACTGGTAGTGTTTACTCGAAAGTGGTACCCAGCCCAAATGCAGCTTAATCTTTTGGGCAGAAACATTACCCAATCATTGTCTTTCAAGTACCTTGGGGTCTGGTTTGATTCAAAGTGCACTTGGAATGCCCATATTACGTATTTGAAGCAAAAATGTCAGCAGAGGATCAACTTTCTCCGTTCAATTTGCGGCACATGGTGGGGTGCTCATCCGGGAGACCTCATAACGCTTTATAAAACAACAATTCTCTCTGTTCTAGAGTACGGCTCTTTTTGCTTTCTCTCGGCAAGAAAAAGTCACCTAATAAAATTGGAACGAATTCAATATCGT